GCAGTTACCAAGTAGCCCTAAATCTAGGTTGTGGTGAGAGCGCTAATCACTAAATCATCTAGGAAAACATTTTACATGTCAAAATGTTTATGTATTTATGTTTTAAAAATTTCTAATCTGCAAAGATGATGAAATCAAAACAACAATAAGAAGCATGGTTCTGAATAACAGTAACGGTAACATTGTAATGGACACGGGTCATATTGGGTGTTACATAACGGTAACGGAAATCGAATATGTGAACTTTTTTTTTTCAACTCACACCTCACCTAAAAATATATTTTTACATTTTTCTACTCTAAAATGAAGTCAATATGAATATTTAATGATCACTAAAATGATATACACTATTTTTTTTTATGGTATCATTATATAATCTTTCAAAAATGATCAAAGTCGGTAATATTTATACTATGGCGTACTTAAAATAAAAACTTTAAGAAAGGAATAATATTGTTAGTCCATTTACTCAAAAGACAACTAGCCCATTAATGATAGGCCTGGAATAAAATACTAATATAGTAGCTCAATGGTCTGATAGAGAGAAAAAAAAAACAGAGAACCCAGTCGGTGCTTACTGCTTCATCTTCTCCGCCCAGGCTTCCCCACTCCTTCTCTCTATTTACTCCAATTCAAATTTTCACCTTTTTCTTTTCTCTTCCATCTCTTCAAAACTCTTGAAATTCCATTCTTTCATGGCAACTCCATTAACAGTGGAAGTCCCAATATCAGTACAGTAACAGGCCCTGCAAATCATGGTCTTCATCGACTCTGGCGAAGCCGACATGGACCTCAAAACCTTGAAGGACATTGCCATTGTCATTGGTGAAGTGAGACTCCTCCGGTAGGTGCTCAATCTGATTATTGTGTCAAAACGGAGGTGAAAAGTCCAGTAGATTTGGTGCTTGCTATTCACAGGGCTTCTCAGGTTGTAACAGCTCGTATCGGTTAGATTTGACCCTTATCGGAAGGTTACAAGGGGTTACGGACCCATCACAGGCCATTACGGTGTTGTAACAGTTACAGATGTGAAATTCATTCTTACCGAAAAATTAGGGTGTAACAGAATTGTTGGACTTCATTACCATTACGTAATGACCGAGTTTCAAAACCCTGATAGGGAGGGAGAAAGGGGATGGCCTAACTATACATTCATAGCTACTGATGCACATAATATAGGCCCAGGCTATCTAATATGAGCCATTTCCAAAATACCCCTCACTCCAGCTAGTAGGAAAAGTGCTAATCATTAACCGTCTAACGAGAGGTGTCATCAGTTCTTTTGTTGTCGCTGTCAAAACTGGGATACAATTTAAATAAACAATCTTGTTCAGTCCTAGAAAGAAGAAAAAAAAATTCTATCCATTCCCTCCTCCTCGGAGACTACTCTCCATCACATAGAAAAGTGATTAATTAAAATCCTTTTATTTGTTAAAAACATTGGTAACCTTGCAAACTCATCCTGTTCCTCCTTTGTTCGATTATGCCATCCAGCGCTTGTCGCTACAAAAGGGACAACATGGTTAGAAGCAAACCCTGAATTCATATCTTGGCCGACAAGAATTTAAGTAGACATTTAAAAAAACATGCATCCACTTATCAATCATTAAAAAATCTGAAGTAACCATAAGCCTGTAAGTAACAATGCTTAAAAGACAAGCAATGAATCATGGTTTTCTAAGTTAGAAGCATAGGCACACAGAGAAACCACTATTTGTCATGGAATAACAATCACACAAGCCCTAAATCCACAGAAAGAATAACAATATACACTCTCAGCATATTATTCAAATATAACTGCAGTTGCACATTACAAAACGAGTTTTTAATGGTATGACCAAAAGCCTAATTTGCTCTAAATTAGGAATTAAAAGCCTAACTAAACGAAAATTACATAACGGAAAATCTTGAGAGTTGAGCCAATTTAAGGAAAGTCTTGTATTCCATCAGAATTCTAGGAGAGGTTAAATGAACAGAACAAAAAGATTATCAAGTAATTATCAAAAGCCTACATAATGATCTCAATAGTCTATTGTCCCTGGCGTAGGCAGTCATCAAGTGGACATCAATCTGAAATACATGACATATACAAACCTTTACCAAAATTTGTCAGTGAGTTATACCATTCTAAGATCATCTTTGTAAGGAATTTTTTGGTGTGGACCATTAGTTTTGAAACAAAACCATGACAATGAATTATAAAAATACATAAGTCAAAAAGTATATTCATCGAAATAAAACATAAAATAAGAGGATCTATGGAATCGTATCTAACAAGCTTCCAACACCTAACAAGATACTGTGATTGGCAATTGAAAAAAAAGAGCAGTGAATTAATTAATCCAAACGACAACGTAACATAAAGATCTACATGTCAATCAACTAAGATAAAGTCAGATATCAGGTTGCAAAACTCAGCTTTAAGCCAGGCATCTCGAAACTTAAATCACACTAGAGAATAGTAAAAGAAAATCCCATCTATTCTAGGAGAATTCCCATAAAACAAATAACCATGGTAAATAAAAAAAAAAAAAATAGCTAAGGCACAAAAAGAAATGTTGAATAGAAAGTTTTGCTCGCAAATAATTCACATGTTTTCTACACTATTAACATTTTTATTATTGTTGGAAAGGATGTAGTAGTTGAACTGTAACGCACATGATCTTTTTAACTAGCATCCCCATTATGGACTTAAAGTGTCAAGCAATTAGCCGGTGAATAGGTAAAAATAGACATGCTAATAGATGTAAGATAATAGGTTTAAATATGAGAAAAACCACTTCATCTAAATATCTAATATTAACACAAGAAAGAAATTTAGAATATTTATGAACAATTATATGATTGTGGTATCAAAAAAAAAAAAAAAGATAATGAATTTGAGCTCAAATTCAAGGGCAGAGCTATAAATTTATTTTAGGGTGGGTAATTTTAATTATAAATTCTAATTTATATCTTCGAATTAATAAAATACAATAATCCATTTAAATCTTTTTACATAAAAGTCTAACATAGAAAAGTAGAGGCCAATCAAAGGTCAATATTATCAATTAATTTTCCTTTTTTACAAACAGAAAAAAAAGTCGTAAATGCGCAAATCATGACCAACCACATACAATCCTAGCACAACAAAAAATATTAAACTTGTATTTACATAACAATTATAGCTTATATTCTAAAAGTGCTATTCCAATAAGAAATAAAACCAAACAAAGAGGAAAGTTATGTGAACAAATAATGAGGGTTATTAAAAAAATTATAAGCTGTGTTATCGTAGAAGTACCAGACTTCAAATAAAGGCAAGTCATACGTCATCAAAATCTCTTGTTTTCTCCCTAACTCCTTCGGTCCCTCCCTCAACTTCGTCCGATGATAATGATCCCAATATATAAATAATTTACTTGAGCCCAAATGTTGATATCTGTTATACCATGACCATGTTTTTTATACTTATAATTATATTTTTTGTTACATATATAGTGACCCTAATTATAATAAAATAAAAAAATAAACTTGTAATTTTTTTCAAATAATTATAAAACGACAGCTAATTTTTTTCATCACTACTGTTCCAAAAAAAAAGAAGAAGAACACATCTATAAGGTACAAACAATTAATGGGCACGACTTATCCCATATGATGATGTGCATCCAAAACTCACCAAGTCATGCTTGGGTCAGCTCTTCACGATCATATTCTTAGTTGTCTTGCCGCATCCTCCTGCTAATTATTAATGCAAATGCACAACTAATCAATTACACCAAAAGCCATTAACATATGGTCATTGTTTTATAATATGAATCCCATCTCCTCTTACCCATGTGTGCGTGGTGATTTTCGCATAATAAATAAAAAAGACAGTTCTCTCTCTTGGTGAACATGTATTTACTTCGTAAGTCGACGATCCTGTAGCGAAGGGAGACCAAAGGTGGCCTACAGAGTAGTGATGAATTGCTTTCAAGGCTGCCCGATCAATTCAGACAAGCCGAAGGCGGATTCTGACACTCAAAAGATGGGTTAGAAGAGCGCTGGAGTGTTTTTCAGTGTATCCCTTCCAACGATCAAGTCAGTTCGTGAGAGAGGAGAAGGGAAAAGCTCTGTTTTGTGTTCTGGGGTCAGATTGCAAACCTTTGCCACATATTTGTGAAGGATATTTATACCTTCCAGGAAAGTCATCATTGCTATCAGGTGGGCCATGTCAAAAAGAGGCTTCTCATTGGTTTATTTGGAAGACAGTGGTCAGTGTTCAACTATTGGGTAGAGCACCTCCAGTTTTACATGGGAAAGACTTCAACATTTAATGCTTGGGTTCCCGAGCATTAAATGCCCTTCCTCCTAAGCTTCCTGGGCATTAAATACTCTTCCTTCTAAGCTCCCTGAGCATCATGGATGTTTCATCCTTATGAGGGATTATTAAATGTTCTTCTGGATGACTGCATGTCAGTAGGGGTATTCTTGTCAATTTATCCTCAATCCTGTGCATCATTCCACGTGTTTAACTCCGCTTGATTGTTGATCTTGTCCATTCTACCATTCTGACTTCATTGGGAAGGCAAATCAATGATCCATTGTCTAACTCTGATTTCAACAAGTTTCAACTATCAATAATCAGCCTTGGAGCTTCAGGTGACCTATCCAAACGGATCCTCGGGATCCAATCACATGGGGGACGTGTCATAACACAAAGCTAGAGGTGTACTCAGTGTTGAGGACACATGTCATCACATGAAAGTTAGAGGTGTCCTCAGTGCCGAGGACACGTGCCTTCACCAGAGAGCTTTAAGTGTCCTTGGTGCTGAGAACACATGTCTTTACAAGAGAGATTTAAGTGTCCTCGGTATCGAGGACACTTATCTTCACCAGAGTGCTTGAGGTGTTCTCAGTGTTGAGGACACGCGTCAGATCTCTATTCTTCCTCAAAAATGTCCCATCACCATAAAAGGTCAGAATTGCATAAAGCCAAAAATACGACAGAATTAAAGAGAGAGAGAGAGAGAGAGATGGGTATCACTGACAAGCAAGAAGCTATGGTGAAAGACTCATGGGAGGTGGTGAAGCAAAACATTCCTGAGTGGAGTCTTCGTTTCTTCACCTTGTAAGTATTCATGATTCATGTAGGTGTACGTGCGTATTTGTGTATGGAGAAGGGAGAAGGGAGAAGGGAGAAGGGAGAAGGGAGAGAAACTGAGAGCAAACATTGTATCATCTTTTTGGTTTTGTACTTTTTCTTTGGTTAAAGGAAGTTTTTTAGTTGTGCATGCATTAATATTGCATCAGTATGTTATGATTGTGATTGGTCGCCTTTTGCAATGCGCTTGTGAACTAGAAGATATAATTTATTTTTAAATGTACATGATCAATATGTTATGGGAGTGATTATTATGACTTTTTTTTATTATGGATTAGGATCTTAGAGATTGCTCCGATGGCAAAGAACATGTTCTCATTCTTGAAAGACACTGGTGAAATTCCTCACAACAATCTCAAGCTCAAGGCACATGCACTGAAGGTCTTCAAGATGGTGAGTCAATATTAGCCCATTTTATGTTCTTTTTCTTTCGTCGTATTGAACTCACCATACACTGCACAAAGCTGTCATCCTTGAGAGAGAGAGAGAGAGAGACCAGTGTGTGTGAATGGATTGGGTAGACTTTGACCATGGAGATATGATAAGAGACGTGGCATGCATTTGTGTTTATTAAACATTGTATAAGGTACATTATGTATCTACTTGGGTTACTCGTCCAATACATGACAATCGTGTACCATTTCTTTTACTACGGTGAAAATACAAGTTTGTTAAAAAGTAATTGAGTTAATTAATTGTATTTAAAAAGTTAATATGTAAGTTATAAGATAAGTTGTCGAATTTAAATAATGTAAATTGTAACTTCGAAAACCTCAGTGGTAGAGTTTATTTATGTTTAAATGCAAGTGTATTTTTCATAAATTACCTTAAATTTTGTTTTTCGTTTCTAACAAATTATGTTGTGACAAATATATTTACTACATAATACTTAAAATACAAGAGATAATGGGATGTGAGTATCTTTTTTAAAACTTATTTGGCTTTAAGTACCACCTCCAAATTTATCCTCCTTTAAGTCCTCTTTTTCATTAAATAGTTGTCAATAAATACACATTTTAAAACATTTTCAAATTCTTTCTAAAATATATTCCATAATTATCTCTACCATAAATAGTGCATATCACCTTGAATGTGAGACTTTCAAGATTCATTTTAATATTTGTGTATCATTTGAATTTTGAAATTATATATATATATAAACACACACACACACACACGTAATACAATGACATCAAATAGTGACACGCTTAACCAAAAAATAGTAATATCAAATACTAATACAAATATTTTTGTTGAACGTATCACTGTTTGATATTACTCTTTTTTTGTTGAGCGTGTCACTGTTTGATGTTACTATTTTTTTTGTTGAGTGTGTTACTGTTTGATGTTACTATTTTTTTGTTGAGCGTGTCACTGTTTGATGTTACTGTATTATGTGTGTGTGTGTGTGTGTGTTATATGAAATTTCAAAATTCAAATGATACACAAATATCAAAAGGAATCTTGAAAGTCTCACATTTAATTAGGTATGTACTATTTATGGTAGGGGTAAAAGGGTTTTTATGACTTTTTTTAAGCATATATACTTCTATCCCAATTATTTTAAAAAGTATACTTTTATCCTATTAATTTTTTTTGAGAGGTACCGGCCTCTCTAAACCCCAAAATACAACACTCAGGGTCGGCCCAATGAAAACTAGGGCCCTAAGCGAAAGTGTTAAATAGGGCCCTGTCAAAATTTATTAAATATAAATATAATATATGATTAAAATTTTATTTAAAAATTATTCTTTTCATTTTTTGCGATGCAAAATTGGTAATGAAATTTTTATATTTAAGGTTTGCTAGTTTTACTAATCCATTCAATGACATAGTTGATCGTAAGTAAGATTGTATGAATTTTAATTTTGAAAAAACTTGATATATTTCAAACTAAATATTCTTGAGAACAAAATATATTTTAAAATAACAAATGATTATACTAAGAGAATAATCTAATATATTACAAAATTCAATAAGAAGTAAACAATAACACATGATAAATAGAATTTGTATAAGCTTTGAATTGATGATTTATTTGCCTCCCAAATCATCTACTATTTCAAACCTTCACAATAAAAAAGAAAATTGCATTAAATTAATCCTATCAATAAAAATATTAAAAAAATAAATTATTCATCAGATAAATATGTACCTTTTCAATTTAATCTAGGTTGTAGAAAATAGATACATAATTATGCTCAGAGCAATGATATTGAGACATAATTTGCAAACATAATATGTTGTGATATGTTTTTTTTTTTTTGATAATTAAAAAAGGGGTAGGGGCAAGGAAGAGCGCTCAACGACCACCACGTTAAGCCCTCACTGGTGAGATCATAAGGCCTCTGACCTCATCTCCAACACCTCTCGGGACCAGACCTAGCTAGACTAACATAGTGGCCTACTATCGAGCCCTAATGGGGACTCCAGAATTCGAACTGCCAACCTGTGGGTGAGGAGTAAGGTATAATACGTTGTGGTCAATGGAGTGATACTCGCATTTAATGTTGCAATGAGTCTCATCATTAAATGCATGCTACTGATCACAATAGCACAAGTGTTTTGTTTATGAACTTTTTCTACTTTGGCATAGAGAGTGAGGAGATGGTAGTGTATAGATAATAAACATTTAAGCTTTAATTGCGAAAAATTGTTTTTTGGTTTTTTTTTAAGACCTTCTAAATAGTGTTATCAAAATTGGACTGGACCAAACCGACCAATTAGACCGACTAAACTGTGAATCGGGACCTAAAACAATTCAATTCTACCTAAGGAATCAAACTGCCTAAGAATCGTGAAACTGGCCGATTTTGGACAAGAACCATGAATCGGACGAATTTTGTAAACCAAACGATTGGAAATTCGAGTCAAGCGAAGAACAACCACTCCATCTCTCTAAATCAGGCAACTTGAAGGCTTGATTCTCCTCCTTTCTTTGGTCTTCCTCTTCCTCAAGCGATGAACAATGACAGCTCAGGTGACAACTCCTCTGTTCGATCCCCTCTGGCTCAGGCGACAACTCAAGCCTCTCTCTATCTTTCTCTCTCTCTCTCTCCATTGAATCTTACTGATATTGTTATATATATGTTTTATAGATGTTATATGAATGTTATGATAGATGTGTATATGTATGTCATATTAATGTACTAGTTATTGTCTATGCCTGAAGACACACAGTAATAAAAAAATGGTCAACAATAAATATTTGTATTCACACCCAAAATCAAATCACAAACATAGAGGAGAGAGAAAAGAATTTAAACACCGGTTGTAGTGAGGGTGATAGGTGGTGGATGGCAGTGGTGGTGGTAGGAGACGATGATGGTTGTGATGGGCGGCAACGACTGTGGCAGTGGTGGTAGGTGTGGTGGAGGTGGAGGTGGGTGATAGTGGCTGGCGACAATAGTGGGCGACGACGGGTGATGGTGGGAAACAATAGGATGGTGGTGGGTGGAAACGATAATAGTGAGATGATGGTAGTAGTAGTAATAAATATAAGAATAATGATGAGTGGCGGTGAGTGGTGGTGGTGATGATGGTGATGGAGGCGGTGCGATAGTGGGGGTAGTGGCAACAATGGTGGTAGTGATGATGGTCGTGGGGCGGTGGGGGTAGTGGTGGTAGGGGTAGTGGTGGAACGACAATGGTAGTGGTAGGGTGTCAACAACGGTGGTGTTGGTGACGATGGTGGTTGTGGGACGGTGGGGGTGCAGTAGTATGAATGGTGGTGGTGGGGTGGCAGTAGTACGGATAGTGGTGGTGCGATGGTGGTGGTGGGGCGATGGTGGTTGTTGCGACAGAGGCGATGATGACTGTTGTTGCAGAAGCGGTGGTAGTGGTTTTCGTGGTGTTGGTAGGGTGGCAGCAGCGATAAGGGTAGTGGTGGTGGTGGGGGGGCGGCATCGATGGTGGTGGTGGTGGTGGAGCGGTGGGAGTGGTGGGGCAGTGGGTGTGGTGGGTATTGTGGCAATGATGGTGGTGGGGGTGGGAATTGAGTATCTGTTTCCCTCCCTTTCCTGCTAGGATTGGAAATCCTGTATTTTACATATCCATACGATTGAGTCCTTAGGTTTCCGAAATAGTGTAAAAAGAAGTGCTTCGAATCATTGCTATTTGACTCGGACCTGTTCTAAAAAAGTCGAGGTATTTCGAATTGTTTATTGACACGGACAAAGTCAGGGAAAACCTCTGAAATTATTTCAATATAACAGAGTGGTAGAAAGAGTACCATGCTGCGTCTGGACTTCAAACGGTTTAGCTTTAACCATTTTAAAGGTCCCACATTATTGGTTGATAGAGAATCAAAGTAGATTTATCAATGAATTACGAAATGCTATAGTTCTTACATATCATTATTGGTGAGGTGGTGGCAGTGATGATGATGGTGGGGGGCGATGGGAGAGGGGTTGGGGGTAGTTATGGTGGGGCGGTTTCAAACACAATTTTTTTTAAAGAAAAAGTAGTTATAAGAAGTTATAAGTTTTAAAAATACTTTTAAAAAGTCACTCCAAACACACTCTTATGGGCATATTTTTTCTATTAAATTTGGGATGTTAATATTAGCCTTTGGATTAATTTTAAATTAAAATTTAAAAAAATCTCAACTACGAAAAACAAAAAAGTCATTTTGTTTATCTTTTGAAATTTGAATTGATTTGTACTTTATTATATAGATATATTGTTATAAATATGTATCCAGATTTATGATTTTTTAGTTATATTATTATGTTTTATAATTTTTATAATTTTTTTATTGTTTGACCAGTCTGACTAATTGACTCATTGATTAAATCAATAAATTATTAATCTATTCCTTTACCGGTTTGATGACCGGTCCAATTTTGATAAATACTGCTTCTAAGTCTTCGTACCGTTGGAAAAAGTGGGAGAAATGTGAGTTGGGCCCTTATTTTAGTCTAGGTCTTCCAAGAATTACCTTGAGATTGGGCCTTTTAAACCAAATTTTTTTGCGCCAATTTAAATTGTATTTAAAGATTATAATTATTATTTGGGGCTCTTTATTTTTTGGGCCTTAAACTACTGTTTAAGTGAACTTTCTATTGGGTTGTCGTTGATAACACTTCGGCAGCATAACAAAAACATGTAGATCCAAATTATACACATGACCTATACTTTTCAAAAAAAAATTCATTCTGCTTAATTTCAATAATTAGGTTTTGTATTCTCTTATTAAGAAGGTGCATTGCACAAGTTTTATGCTAGTGTAGTATTGTTAATATTAGAAATTAAAACGATTCTAGTTGTAGTATGTAATTCTTTAACTAATTGTTGTGACACTTGTGTTTTAGACATGTGAATCATCAATTTAGCTTCGTGAGAAGGGTGAGGTGGTAGTTGTAGGTACTACTCTCAAGTAGTTGGGATCTGTCCATGTCCAAAACGATGTTCTTGATCCACATTTTGAGGTGCAAACAACACTCTTAGTTTCTCTCTCTCTCTCTCTCTACATATATAGATATATTATTCTATGATTTGATCAAGTTTTCATTATTGATAATTCTCATTGGTTTGATTAGCTTCTCATCATTAATTATGGCATATAGGTGGTGAAGGAAGCTCTACTGGCAACAGTCAACAAGGCAGTGGGAGAGAAATGGAGTGAGGAGATGAATGGTGCTTGGAGTGAAGTCTATGATCAGTTGGCTGCAGCCATCAAGGCTGAGATGAAGCTAGTATCTGCTTAGCTTTTTCAAACCCCTCTTAATTTGATGCAAATGTGTCCATAACTATGCATTCTGACACAACGAGCCTGTTTAGAGTTGATTTTTTTCGATAAAAATTTGCGGTGTGAAAAGTTTTATAAAAAAATCAGAGTAAAAAAAGTCTCCTAAAACTGTTTGAAATATTTTTTAAAAAACTGAAAAATTTGAAAAAAAATCCGTTTGAAGTGTCTTTCTAACTTTTTTGTGTCAAAATAAAAATATAGATTATACATAAGAGTATAATAAACTAAAAAATTTTGTGAGACCCGCGACAAAACTCCAAAAAATTGGAAGAAAAACTCAAAAAATCAGCTTATTGAATTAGTCTAAATAAATTTTCATGAGTCCAAAAAGTTGTTGCATAAGCTAGTAAAAAAGTCAAGGTCCAAACGGACCTTAGTTATTTTATTCTAAAACCCTTAAAACTATCTATTGAAACTAGCTCCAAATAGGTCCAATGAATGAGTGTACGTATGTGTGTGTCTAAAGGGAGAGAAAGAGGGGAAGGGAGAGAGAAAAGAGTAGTTGCCCTTATGTATGTGCAGTTAATAATATTTTCAAGAACTAAATATATAATCTATAATACTATTACTTAATTAATGATGTGTCAAATGATTCAATTTCAGTGAATAAGTCCAATAATCACATAATGAATCATGTCAAGAGCCACGTCATTATGTGAATAAATTCAGTCAAGTTTTTGGATCATAACATTATATAATTGTCTTCTTGTAATCGATGCGTGGGATTAATAACAATCATGACAGTTTTGCGGGATCATTTACCTCGTAAGGGCTATTTTTGGTTCTCTTTTATTTGTAGACATGCATGTTGTTTTGCTGGTACGTATATGGGCTACATTGGACATTGGGGCATTATTTCTGCATTCTCCTGTTTGTTTGTGGTCTAACTTATATGAGGCCTTTTTAAAAACTATTTATTTGATTTTATTTTATTTTTTTTGTAAAAAAAAAAAGTTACATTTGGCCCCAAATGTTTCCTTCTATTTGGGGTCTTAGAACATCTCCAACTCACTCTCCATTTCCTCTCTTTTAGCCATTTTAACTAGTCAAACACAAAAAAACTCTCCAACCCAATCTCTATTTCCCATTTCACCCAAATGGCTCCCCAATTGTGGAGAGTCATTTAGCCTCTCTAAATTCTCTCTCAACCTCTATCTCTCTCAACCTCTCTCTCTCTCTCTCTATATATATAGTATTCCCTTTAAATTAATAAAAGTTAATGAAAGTTGGGTGAAGTAGTTAACTAAAATAAAGAATGTGATTGAAGTGAATTTGTAAAAGTGGCTAGCTAAAGTAGAGAATATAATATTTAAATATATTTTGGCTAGCTATTTTGAAGAGCTAGGTTAGAGAAATTCTTAGGCAGCCACCAAATTACCCTATGCCCTAGGCCGATCCTATACACATTTTATTGGTGATAAGATGTTAAAACCCATTGATGTTGTCTTTGAAAGAAAATTTGTCAAAAATGAATTAAAGAGAGTAACTTTTAAGGTTTAATGTGGACTAAATTGATTTACCGCTCAAACATGAAAAATACTATTACACCTTCCATTATGTACAATATTTTTCATATATTTTTTTTTTTGAGATATTTATTATGTCCATAAAAATAAGGAAATAAGAAGCCAAGACAAAAATATATCCGTTCAATCCAACACTAACAGACTACACAATAAAATGTTCACCTTCACCTTTGCCTCCACCTCCACCAAGCAACAAGACGTGTGCACGTGCACACACACACACACACACTTTATTTGGGATAATTATGTATTTTTAACAAAGTAGAGATCACGTGAATTTTTATGTCTAACTTTCATTATTTTTTATGAACTAAAATTAATTGTTGGGGTTAATTGCAAAATATTCAAACTTAAAAGAGAAAATTTGTTGAAATTAAAATTTGAAGGAGTTAATTGCTAACTACTCAAAATTGAAGGGATTGTTTTGTAATTAACCAAACCTCCTTCATTTGCGGTGTGGGCTATTTCTTGGAGTGAAATGATTCCTAATCCTCTCACAATGTTTTTTCAGCAAACAATGTTTAAGAAGACAAACCAAACAAAATGGTTTAAGAAAGTCCAAGTCAAGGTCACCAGTCAATAGTCATAAAGACGATTATACAATGCTTTTGGATGGTGATTATTTCAACCTTATTAATAGGTTATGAATCTGAGTCTTTTCAATAACAACCATGACTATTTCTTTTTTTTAATTTTTTTTATAGTTAAAACAAAAAAATTTGGAAAGATATAAGTTTTCATAATTGTATAATAGAATGAGCAATGGAAAATTAAATTTGATAAATTTCAAATGATATTTAATTTAAATACATAATGTGTTTTATTAATTTTTGTATATGAAAACTAATCATGTGCAACGCACGTGTTACATTGCTAATAAACTAAAAAATAAAGTGAGACCCGCGACAAAACTCCTAAAAATTGAAAGAAAAGCTCAAAAAATCAATTTATTGAATTAGCCTAAATAAAATTTTTTGGGTCCAAAAAACTGTTGCATAAGCTAGTAAAAAAATCATGGTCTAAATGAACCTTACTTATTTTATTCCAAAATCTTTAAAAACTATCTATTTAAACGAGTTCCAAATAGGTCCAATGAATGAGTGTATGTATGTGTGTCTCAAGAGAGAGAAAGAGGGGGAGGGACAGAGAAAAGAGTACTTGACCTTATTTATGTGCGGTGCATAATGTTTTCAAGAACTAAATATATAATTTATATTACTATTACTTAATTAATGATGTGAAAAAATAATATGATTTCAACGAATAAGTCCAATTATATAATGGACCATATCAAGGGCCACATCATTAAGTGAATAAATTCGGTCAAGTTTTTGGATCATAAAATCATGTAGTCATCTTCTTGTAATCAATGCATGGGATTAACGGCAATTCTACGGGATCATTTACCTCGTAAGGGCTATTTTTGGTTATCTTTTATTTATGGACATGCATGTTGTTCCTGGTACATATATGGACTACATTGGACATTAGGACATTATTTCTGCGTTGTCCTGTTTGCATGTGGTCTAGTTTAAGTTCCTGCACAAAATTGAGAAGAAAAAAAAAACTTCAAAAGTAAATCCAAACTCTTTTCAAAGTTAATGAGTGTTTATGGTGTTTATTATTTTTTTTGGATCAATGTTTATGGTGTTTACTCAAATATTAATAACCAAACAAGTTAAGAACCTATAGAGTTGGGTGTTGTTTGATAAACATGGAAATTAAATATTGAAAATTAAATGGTGAATGTTTTAATAAAAAAAAATTGTGTGTCAATAAAAATAAGGAAATAGAAAGTTAAGACAAAGAGACATCCGTTCAATCCAACACTAACAGACTTCACAATAAAATGTTCGTCTTCACCTTTGCATCCACCTCCACCAAGCAACAAGATGTGTGTACGTGTGCGCACACGCACAAGCACACACACTTTTTCAGATCACGTGAATTTTTATGTCTAACTTTCATCATTTTATATGGTCTAAAATTAATTGTTGGAGTTAATTGCAAAATATTCAAACTTAAAAGAGCAAATTTGTTGAAATTAAAATTTTAAGGAGTTAATAGCAAACTACTCAAAATTGAAGGGATTATTTTGTAACTAAACAACATCCTTCATCTACGGTGTTTGCGATTTCTTGGGGTAACATGATTCCTCTCGGTATTTTTTCAGCAAACAGTGTTTAAGAAGAAAAACCAAACAAAATGCTTGAAGAAAATCCAAGTCAAGGTAACCGGTCAATAGTTATAAACATGATTACACAATGCTTTTGGATGGTGAGTATTTCAACCTTATTAATAGGTTATGAATCTAAGTCTTTTCAGTAACAAAGACTTCAATAATACATCCAAAAATTCTTCTTAATTACGAGTTCCATTATTAAGAGCATTTTAATCATATAACTAGGGCAAGGTGCAGGTCAACCTAAAATATGAAACTTTCAATCTGAACTCAACCTTGTTCTCTACCGAGCAACTCCAATTTGAACCAACCCATGATGAACTTTTTCAACTCGAGTCGAGATTGAGTTACACAATTTGATTTGAAATTGAGTTTTTCATTAATCAAAATTAAATTGAGTCAAAAATAAGATTCAATTCTATGTTCAATATCGAAATTAATCCTAAATTCTATAACTCCCATTAATCAAAGGTAATCAGAAAATAGAAAAAAATAAATTTCACATTTACAATAGGCTTAAATATTTTATATGTGTGTATGTGTGATTTTTTGTTTTGGAATTTCAAGTTGCAATCGGGTTGAATTTCTAAATTTGAATTGGGTTCGGGTCAAACCCATCAATTCAAAATCTCAACCCGAGTATTTCCCAAATTTGATTCATGTTAGAGAATTTTTGCCCAACACCAATCCAAGTATTGAAAATTTTGAGCTGATCCCGGATTAAACTCTGGTTAGCGCACCCAAGTTTCACCGTGGGAGATAAAACTAAAATAATTCTGTAGAAAAAAAATGGAGAGAGTAATGCAAGTCGAGATCAACCTTATCCCACGGTGGAGAAAAAGCATACCTCCAAAAGTCCAGTTTTTTGATCGGCTAACTGAGTAATCATGCAAGCCTTCTGGCCTTTTTAAAAGCATGAGGAAATTCTTCCATTTTTTGTTAAGCACTTGCTCTGTGTTCAATCTAGCACACCATTATGGGCACTTCTATTCCACCTTTGGTGCTTCTTATGTTTTTGCTCATTGTCGTGGGCAATTCAAACTCAAACATCATTTGCCATGAGAAATCAGAAATAGTCTCAGAGATCCAGAAGACAAGCTTTCATCTTGGTCTGTCCAAGAAAATTGTTGTCAATGGACAGGAGTCCGCTGAGGTAATGTTACAGGTCGAGTCATTGAGCTCGACCTCCGTGATATGCAGCTGCAGGACGAGATTAATTATTCTTTGCTAGAATTACAAGTTCTGAGTCAC